GTAATGTACTTAACTGCAGTGTTATACGGAATGAGATAAGCATCTTCTTTGTACAATTTCAATGTTAATTTTACGTAATTTTTAACTTTTAATAACTTTATTACGCAATCACTTGTTAATCAAGACGACAAACAACTTCTTTGTACGATGTTTGTGCTTTTCTCACTTTCCGACTAGAGATAGAGGATATTCTTTATTAATGTATTAATTATGTATTTGCTGAAAGTGGCTAAAATCGATAATCGAAACGTTCAAACTAACATCTTTTAATACACATTATATTATTAATGATTATATAAGTGTAGATTACGTTTCTTTTACTGTGTTGACTCCAAAGTAGCCCCCTTAAATCTATATTATAATTTTACAATTATTAGGAGTCCTATTTTATATTATATTTTATATTTTATATTATATTCTTTATTCTAAAGTGTTATTATTTTAATATTTACTTAAATTAATATTTAATATTAATTAAAAAATAGAACTACATTCCATTTGCAATGCTCTTAAAATCATTTCATTCTTACACCGAAAAAAATTTTTAATTAAAGATGAACGAATCAAAAGATTCTGATCATGAATAAAAAATCGTGTTATCTGAATTAGAATTATAATACATTTAATCAGAAAATTCTGATTTGTCTATTTTCAAGAAGAATTCAATTAATGTAATCAGATTTTTTTTTCGATATACTGTTTATCTAATGTTAAACAAGAACAAATAATATCGCGAACATTACGAGCGTCAAATGGAAGATACTCTAGATTAAAGGCTCGTGCCTTCGTTTATTGCTTGTCTCATCATATCTCGGTGTAGCTGTGCTTTCTGTAACGAGTAATTGTCTAGATCCGATTTAAAGGGCACGAGTAGACGCAGGCCTTCCGGAGGTCAAAAATAAGGCGACAGGTAGAATACGGAAAGATAGGGGAATATGGGTAGGCAGATGCAGGCAGAGCGTAGTACCGGGCATTGTTTTTGAAGCCGTTGGTTGTTGCTTAAGTGGCTTGTTTCCACGCTTTCGTGGCTCTCCGTGGTCGTCAACAGGACTAGTGTTGTCCGTGTATGAAACACCGGGTGAACTCCGTCCCCGGATGCTTATTATTATTAAGATGTGATTACACCAAGTCTTGAATTAAATAATACCGACATAGAGCGAGTGCGAAATATAGCCACAAAGGACAAGGAGGAAAGTTCAATTAGGTAAACAGCATTAGTTACGAGTTGTCGTAATCTACACTAATTCTGTCGAAATCTATGAGAAGCGTGACGATGGAAAGAATAAAAACGTTCACGAAGCGATAGAGATAAAATGTTGCAGATCCAATGTTTCTTGTTTGAACAAACTTCCGCTGCATGGAAAGAACGATTTTGATAATGTATCTAAAAATTTAGCTAGATACAAATTTGAAAATAATTTTGTTGGATCATCAAAATAATTATGTAAGAAATTATCATTAAATGATTTTGTATTCATGGGAGTGGATTTTGGATCGCGCTTATAAATCATCTCAAGGAAGAAAAAAAAGAGCACGCTCAAAATCAAACTTAAGTATCTTAATGACCCGATTTGGAACAAAATCCTTGTGACTTTCGTTCACTACTGTTATTTTTCTTTTTCTTTCTTCATGATTTGCGGAGAAGAAAATAGCCATTGCAAGAGAGCATAAGCGATAATAATATTCAACGGAATGAACAGCTTGATGTTTGAAGCGGACGCGAGTAACCCTAACCGTCTCGCTTGGCCGTTTCGATGGCTCATGAGTTTCATCGTGTCTCTCGGAAAGGCATAAAAGAAAGAGGAAACGAAATATTTAAGGTAATGACATGCAAACAGCCGTAAAATAAAGGCAATTATATAAAATGAGAAAAATTGTATTTATTCCAACGATAGCACATTAAAAAAATAGAAAGAGTGTTACGATAAACACGGCGAAAATGTTCCAAACTTTGTAGCTTCTAAACAATTAATTAATTAATTTAAATTTTAAGCCAGATCATTTATTGATATATATTATTTATTTATCTTGCGACTTTGCATTTTGTATAAATAAGATTTTTACTTTAATATTTTTTATTAATATTTTTGTCGGTTGTGTGTTTATATTTAATTAAAAGAATAATATGATACCTTTTTATATCTGCATTCAATTCTAAAGTAAATTATTTTTCTTTTTACAAAATTTATTTCTATTTACAAAATATTTCTGTCTTAATATTAACAATTAATACGGGAATCTTTTCCTTTAACTTCCGAAATTGGATTAATTTCGTCATTTATCGCATTTGTCCCTTATTCCTCGAATATACGGGACGATGCGCAGTATGCATTTTCGATCTTTCCGACACGAGTTCCGCGTTATTTGTCTTATGTAATCGGCGCGCTGCATGCTCGCGTACATCACGGTAACAAATTTTCCGCAGCCGGCCGGCAGCATAATGTTGGAAAGCGACCGTGCCTGTTAAACATGAAGGTGAAAATTTCCGGCCAGTTAACGTTACCAGTTAGAACCGTCTTTAATTTTGCGATTGTTCGGCGTCCGCTTCTCGGACCTTCGGCTACGCCATTGTTAAGAAAGTAAATGCCGAGAAAACCTTCATTTGATTATCTGTGGATCTGCATTTACATCAGCGACACGAGTGACTAGTAATTTGCAATCGCAATTTTCATCACGTTCAATGACGCGTTAAATAACATAATCCGTGCTTTCGATCGATCGATAGCGAGATGCATAACTCTAAAATGACACGTGAGATATTCTTGTTGTTAAAGGCTAATCTACAATGTACTCTTTGCTTTCTATTTCTTGCTTCCTGTCTTTTATCTTTCCCTCTTTGTAACTGTTTTGTTGATAATCATCTTGATAATACTTTTGAGACTTCCACGGGAATTTTTTATACAGAAGCTAAACATTTCGCGAGTTATCTCCAAATCCATTATTAGAATGCCAATCTTTTAAGAACCTTGCAGTTTATTTTATCGGGACGAGGAAACAGCATGATAAGTATCAACTATTCCATCCCTGATGAAATAAACTGCAATGGACATGTTACAAGGATGATTCGCGAAATCCATATCTATGGTGATTATATTTTTTTATATTTAAATTTTATATTTAAAGAAAATAAAGGATAAATCTAAAAATATTAGAGTTTTGTTCTTACATGTTTTCAAATCAATTTTATCAAGATAATTATCAAGAATCTATTATATTGCATTATAAAATTTTATTGCACACTATAATCAAATTAAGATAATGCGCATTTTTTTTATATTATAGTTTGAAACTGATTTGACTATATTGGAACAAACCCATGATCTGAAATAAAAAATGAAAACAATTCTAGTTTGAATAAATTTGATTTAAAAAATTAAGAAATATAAATTAAGAAATATAATTAATGAAAATAAATTGTATTTATATGCATGAAACTGTAAAATATTTTCCGTAAAAATTTGCTCATTAATATAATATTATAAACGTAGAAAAGCTAGTTAGAAAAAAATTTCTCATAAAAAAAATTAAGGAAACAATAAAGGAAACTATTGGAAAATAAACAAAATTTTAAAGAAACAAATATTGGGTTGTCTGGAATGTTCATGTCGATGTTGAAGGAAAATTGAACCGCAGAAAATTTAAATTTTAATATACATTTATTAATATATAGGTTAGTCGGCACGAACTTTCCGGACAACCCAATAAATCTAAAGGACAGCTATTTAAAGTAAAAGATTATTCTTTACAATGAAGGGGATATATGATCACCATATCCACAGCTTTTGTATAAAATGATGTATCTTATTTCTAGTTATATGTATCTTGTCTCTTCTGAAGTTCGTTCACTTTCTCTTGACAGAAGAAACAAAATAAGAGACAAGAGAAAAAAAACAAAAAATAGGAATCAAAGAATTGTACATTAATTTTAAAAGATTTCCAAAAAAAAAAATTTGAATTTAAGTAGATAGGAATATTGGAAATTCGTAAAGATGTTTTATTTTCATACAATTAACAATTTTATCGATTAGATAAGACGTGTTGTAGCGATAAGCTCGGTAATGTAAACGACTAATGGTATCCCTAATCGTCGTGGCAGGCAGATTCTCGAAGAGCTAATGTTTACGTGGGCAGTGAGTCATTGCAGGTTTCCTTGTCTATTTCATCATAAAACTAACAGCAATGTAATAAGATATAAAATCGAAGGAGGATTAACGTTCGCGAAAGTGGAGCACGAGCTGGTTGCAAGTTGCCAACTGCTGCGCCATGCAATGAACGTATTGCATTATATATATGCGAAACAGAGCCAGGTTTGGTGCAATTTTCTATTAAAAATATTATTCTCCGCCTTTTCGTGTCTTTCTCGTACGAAATATAATCTCACAGGCGTGTCGAAAGTAAAATTCACCTCATTAAATCGGAAACTTGGTGCACTCTGCCTTTAATTAATTTTTATCTAATAAACACTGAGCAAAAAATTACATAAGCGTTATCTCTTAACTGCTGGACGATAAATTGTTCTCGTATAGTTATGTATTTCACACTTAAGAGAGAAAACGCTCGAATTATATTTTCATAAATCTCTCTTTGCTGAACAACTTGTGCATCTCGTACAAATAAGCAACTTTCACCTCAGTATTTTTTATTAATATTTTAATAATATTTTCATCTTTTGTCTGTTTATATTGAATTAAAGAAATAATGAGCATTTTCTAAGTCTGTAATCAGTTCTAAGATAAATTATTCTTCCGAAACCTGCAATGATGAAACGAATATGCCAGACAAACGGATTTTTTTTTAATAAAAAAAATTTAATTGAACTCTCGAGATTTAAACAAAACATAAAATTCATCACAGTAAGTATGAGTAAAAGAACTCCGCGTTACTTCATACACTAAAATTTAAACATATACTCTGTGTTCAATTTCTCCTTACATTACAAGATTGAACGTTTCGGCTCAAGCCATCCTCAATGAATTTATTTTTTAACAATATGTACTCACTTCTAATTTGGCGGAGTATTCCTCAGCTAAGGTTTCAGCCTGCTTCGTTAACTCCTGATTCCTTTCGAGCAGAGCCTTGCCGAGTTCAGCGGCCAGGACGAGATCTCTCTCACGTTGCTTCAGCAACTCGGCTGGATCCTCCACGACGTCCTCGTGATCCAACGAATGCCTTCTCGCCTGAAGATCCGATATCATATCTTCGAGAGCGTACGGCTCCGTCTGACTGTCTTTCTTCGGTAGCATCGCGAGTTATCGGTGGTACCTTCCACGACACAACACGACGTAACGTCACTTCTGTTTCCGTTACCGAAACGAACTCGCGGTTCTCGATCGATATATGGAGGAGGAAACCGCGTCAGGTGTACACTTCGACAACAATACGTCAAAAGTATTCGGACACGACGATAATGTTAGTGACGTCACGATCGACTTTCCCTCGTGGACATCGCGTGGTTGTGCGTGGGTAGCGTCAAATTATCGAACGCCATTGATTATCTGAAATCAATTATTTCCGGATTTTTACTCTTATTATCGTTTGACACTTAAAGCGTCAAGCAGACGGTATGATATTACATAGCCGTTCGGATATGTGGCGGTTTAAAAATTAAACGAACTAAACTCGACAAACTGGTTTGACCGAGTCGAGGAGTTGAGTTCAATTTTATGTAGAATATGTTTTTAATGTTTTTATATTAATATAGTATTTTTTTAACAAAAAAGATTGAAGACTATTCGAGCTGCTAAGATAAAATTATAATAATTATAAATGAATTATTAATGAAGCTAAATATATGTTTACAACATATAATTATAATGTATATGTTTTAACGTTGTTTATACATATATATA